ATGCTACAAACTATTTTTTTTAATAAAATTATGAAAATGATACGAAAATTTATTCAATGTGTTTCTCTTTAACATTACAAGATAATTTTTCAAAATTGTCATTTTACGAAAAAAACCTTTGCATTTCCACTCCATTCATAATAAACGCTTTGCCTTTAACTTTAATTTAATTTGTGCTCATCAATTTTCACATTCGATGGGTGATGCAGACCTTTCGACCTCTCTTTAAAATTTCGGATACAACTACTGGACGATAGTCTATAGAATATAACTGAATATTTGATTTTTTGACATTTATTGATGATAATGCGGTCTTGCATAGATGTGATACAAGAATTATGTCCTTTCATAACTTCTTCAGTGAATGAATTCTCCGAAGGCTTGCAACCTTTTTGCAATATGTTAACATGTTTAGTTGTCAACTTCTTTGAAACCATAGAGATAACTAATAACTAACGAACGGTGTCTCCCTGAGTGAACTGAATCTATTTGGAAAGGACTTGATATACTATTGAATACATAGCCAAATATGCTGGGTGGTATGGAAATAATATTTCACCAAGAATCGTACATAAGCTCGTCACAGATGAAAAAGACACTTCAAGCAATAAAGACGTGTTTCAAGCAGAAACTCTGGGATTCCCATCGGCAAAATGTGTATGCAACGCAGAAGCTTTAATGAAAAGAGAAATAACGAAAAACTTTATTTAGAATGCGAAAGAGCCTGTTATATTTCCTTGGATATATAATGAGAAAACTCTGCTTGGAGAAAGTAACAATCAAAAGACTTATTGAAGACAAGGCAAGAAAACTCTTGATATAGTAATCTATTTACATTGTTCGGACTATTATCCTCATCTTGCCATATTTATCACAACGTTTCGGCCGTGGTTGGAATGTCGAACTGAACCCTTTATTTTGATCGCTGGAGTATTCTACTTCCACGTACCATGTCTAATGGATGTCAGTTATCAGTTATCTCCTGTCAATTACCCTCTACTCAAGGACACATGGCATAGTGGACAAAGGTGTTAGTTAGATCCAGTGACAGGACCCAAAGAGTGAGTTCAATACCTGGTTAAGGCGGTGGAGAAGTTGGAGAGGGGAATTAACAGGGGATAACTGATAAGTGGCATCCTATTAAACATAGCAGCGAGCGAAATAAAGGGTTCAGTTCGACATTCCAACCACCTGAAGAAGGTCGGAGCGTACAAAGGCCGAATCGTTGTGACAAATACGGCAACAATGATGACGATGATAGTCCGAACAATGTAAATAGTGTACATAATACCCCATCTCAGAAATATAGAGAGATACTGAAGAAGGCCGGGGCCTACAACGACCGAAACGTTGTGATAAATATGGCAACAAAGATAAGGATAATAGTCTGTGTAATGTAAATAGTGTACATAATACCTCATCTCAGAAATATAGACAGATACTGAAGAAGGCTGGAGCCTACAACAAGCGAAACGTTAAGATAAATATGGCTACAAAGATAAGGATAATAGCCCGAATAATGTAAATAGAGTACATGATACCTCATCTCAGAAATAGACAGATACTGAAGAAGGCTGGAGCCTACAACGACCGTAGCGTTGAGATAAATATGGAGACAAATCGCTCATGTTCTGAAGGAACATTGCCTATAAAAAGGTTTTATTTCTTGTATATTTAAATAAAAGTTTAACTTTTTTTAATTAATTTCTTTTATACAAATCAGTATGTTTTTATTTGTCACATTTTAAAAAGAGAAATCATCGTTTTTTGTTTTTTTTTAAATTTCGGAAATTCTTCAAAGAATTGTCATCAAGCCTACTGGTCTGCTTCCGGTTGTAAATTCTCCATTGAGTATGAATATACTTTCTGCATTCTGCAATGGTACGTACGGATTCGAAGTGCTTATACATGCAGAATATTCATTGACTTTATGAAATATTCATGAAACAAAGGTTTCAAAAGTTTTCTGGTTTCTTTTTTTTTTCTTTTTTAAAGAATGGAGTAAGGAAAAGCATCGACAAAACAGTTTCTGTCAAATCGAATTTGCAAACACACCAGCATAAAATTTTCTCTCCAAGTGTTTTCTTGTGTTGTTTTTTATCGAATTTTCTCTTTATTCATCAGGCTCTCTAAACCTCTTATCTTCTGCTATCAGTCTCGTCAGATCGACGTACGTATATCAATAATTCTGTAGCCTAATGACTAAAAATCATTGATTTTGTACAAAATATATTCATTCTTTTTACATAATCTTCTTCTTGGAAATGAATTTAAACTAACTTTTAACGACTCACTTCTAAAGATGAAATATTATACCAGTTTGAATCAAAAGTTTTTTCACAGATGATCATGACCACTTTTATCTCGTTATATCATTAATTTGATACAACTTCAATCATAGTTGAAGTGTATTTCATTTGCTTTCATTTATCACATAAAGATTCATTTTTTATTTATTTTACAGCTTTAATAATGAGTACTGAAACGTTCCAGTTATAGCCATTTTACGCTTAGTTAAAAAAAAAAACAGTGTTTAAATCTAGTGCAAGAGGAATTAATAATGGGAAAGTTTCCGTAACTATCAAAGACGATTCTAGGAAGGTGACATCAGCCTCGAAGACAAAACATGGTCAGGGAGACTTTCTGTTGAGAAAAATGATGCTTTGATTAGAATGGTTGAACAACAGTCAAGTACAGCCTCTTGTATATTGTCGCCAGAACTTGATCCTTCACAAAGCACCAATCGGCACATCCATAACATCGGGTTTGTGTACAGACGCTGCCAAGTTGTTCCTCATAAACTAACCAATCACATTATCTATCTATCTATCTATCTATGTTTGTCACTATGTATCTATGCCTATTCTGTTTGTCACTATCTATCTATCTCAGTCTGTTCGTATCTATCTATCTATCTATCTATCTATCTCATTCGTTTCATATCTATTGATCCGGGCCCGAATGCCAATTTCATGTTCCTGTCGACTTCAGCTGAATTGTTTCCCAATATAAACTTACCCCACAAAGTGTATCCTTTCCAAAGTCAACATAATTTCAAAAGTGAATACGCAAAAAATATTATAAACAGACCATATAAAGTGTGGGTTTTCACAGTAGAATAGCCAAATTTACAATGGGAAGTGATAGATTACTCACTCAGTTAAGTCAGTCTGGTCATCGCCACACCATGAAGCGTTGAGAAACCTCAGTTTCTCGTGAAGCAACCGAACACAAGTCTATAATATCCCAACTGATAATGACAATAGATAAAGATACTGAATATTTACATTCATGCCGTTTTATAGCAAGAAATAATAAATTGTGAAACTGACACTTTATGTAGGAAAGGCGCACTCAACACAGACACGAGTCTCGTTATTTCTCGATCCACCCCCACAAGCCGTATTCTCGTTCTTCTTTCAATCTTTGCTACTGCATTATCTTTTATGTAGGTGTCTATCATGTTAATGGCGGTAAATATTAATATATATGGTTTTGCTGCGTTCTGCCAGAACATAAGAAACTTCAGGACAAATCTGTTGGAGGATGAGAGAAAACACACAAATAGACACACACACACACATATAGTTGTATATATATATATGCATATAGATATGTTTCCATATATATGAATATACACATATGTTTCTCTCTCTCCCTATATATATATATATATATATATATATATATATATATATATATATATATATATATATATTAATTCTTCGAGCCTAGAATAATCCTCAACAGAATACAGAAAGCAGTGGACGGCCGTTTCCTCCTATCAGGGACTCATCAGCAGTGCGCATCCACTACCAAAATCGAACCCGAACCGTTTCGATACAACGCAAGCGTCATACTAACTGTACCACGGGAATCAGTGACGAAGAAGACAAAACGACACTCGATATATGCGACGCTCCTCACTCAGTTCCGCTGAATATATATATATATATATGATTAGGTTATCTAAATACTTTGATAAGTATCGCTGCGCAATATATATATATATATATATATATATATATATATATGATTAGGTTATCTAAATATTTGGATAAGTATCGCTGCGGAACGGAGTGAGGAGCGGCGCTATATTGAGTATAGTTTTTGTCTTCTTTGTCACATATATATATATATATATATATATATATATATATAGAGAGAGAGAGAGAGAGAGAGAAAGATAGATAGATAGATAGATAGATAGATAGATAGATAGATAGATAGATAGATTTAGAGATTAATTGATACTGCTAGGTTCATGATATTCATTTCCTCGGTGAAAAATTTTAATGCAAGATTATGATCAAGTCTTGGAGAACAAGGCACAAATTTTATGCATCTCTCTCTCTCTCTCTCTCTCTCTCTCTCTCTCTCTCTCTCTATCTCTCTCTGAATCTGCTCTTGCTGCTGATTTGGTCAGTCATTCGATTAACCTTTTTTTTGACAGCATTTATACAGCTTCCTATAATCAAATACACGACGTGTTTACTGGCATGCAATGTTGAAACGCAGAGCCGAGGTGAGAGTTCAGACAAGCCTGTTGCGCCCACTATCATACTAAGGTTTCGGGGAAAGAGAAAAATTTATCTTTTTTCTTCTTAGACGCGATCATGTCTTAATACGGCAAAGAGCTGAGTCTAGGTTTCAGTTTGGAGGGGAACATATCTGAATTTAAAACTTTGAGAAGAAAAAAGTGAACCTGTGCATTATAGTCCCGAAAGTTTCTTTGCAATTCCATATATTTTAGACATGAAAGCTGTAAAGAGGCATGACTACATAGATCGTGAAGAGGCACGGAAACAAAAAACAGCAACTCTCAATCGTAATTAAAATATTTTTGTTTGTTTCATGAACCCAGAAGCAAATGGCACTTCTTCACTCTCCAGACCGAAATACGTTAATTATTTCTTCCTCGAAATGAAATATAAAATTAGGAATAATGTGAAAAAAATCAGATCTTAACGTCGGGATTTTCTTTTATAAATGTTCCGTCTTTAGTACGGAAAACACTGAACAATACGATAGAATAGATAGATAGATAGATAGATAGATAGATAGATAGATAGATAGATAGATATGATCAGACTTAGATAGATAGATAGATAGATAGATAGATAGAAAGATAGATAGATATGAACAGACTCAGATAGATAGATAGATATGAACAGACTAAAATAGATAGATAGATAGATATGAACACACTCAAATAGATAGATAGATAGATAGATATGAACACACTCAAATAGACAGATAGACAGACAGATAGATAGATAGATAGATAGATAGATAGATAGATAGATAGATAGATAGATGTGAAATTCGTTGCATTTATTATTAGACACAGAGCGTGTTGTATTTTCATCTTGACGCCAAGTTAATAACGTAGACAACACACTTTTGCTTGGTGTTAGCAAAAAGGATTCATGTCCAGAGAAACAAACTGACTCCATAGAAATGTTTATATCTGACATATTTTTTTCTTTTCACTCTCTGTCTGGTTTTAAGTTTGTTTGTTTTTTATTTATAACATTTACACACACACAAAGAAACACACACACTGAGAAAACACACACACACACACACACAGACACACATATATATATATATATATATATATATATATATATATATATATATATATATATACTGCTGTCCAATATGTTAAAGCCAATGAAAATAAAGAAGAATTATACCTTTTACTTTGCCCGACTCTACCACATATTTGAATAGAACTTCGAAAGAGGAAAATAAGAAAAGCATAAATTAAATTTAAAATATTTTTAACATTGACAAATGAGGCTAAACACTTGCTTGTCACACGTATATGATCATAACTAAAAGACGTTCCAAACAAAATAGGAAATGCCGAACAAGACATATCAATATTAAGTTGCACGGACGTCATTGTGAATTTTTTTAAAAAAAAAAACACACTTTAGACTTTTACATCTAATCGTACGGGTTCAAGCCCGGATCTGAGTCACGATGTGCTAAGTGCTTTCGACTGGAAGTCCAGCATCATTGTTCCTCAAGTTTACCACCGAATTATCGCTACGATGATACTACCTATCCATTCGGAAATTTGACCGTAGAACCCCTCAACACTTCGTTCTCCAACATCCGTGGCATTAGAAAAAAAATTCTGCAGTATGGAATCTTTCCTCACTGTAAACTGCCCGGATATACTGGCTCTGTGTGAGACTAACCTTGTCTCGTCTATTCTCTCCTCTGATCTCTCGATCCCCGGCTACCTTCCTCTCCTCAGGAAAGACTCTCTAACCTACATGCACGGCCTTGGTGTCTATGTCAAGTACCACCTCCCCCTGGCCAAAGAGTTTATCTTGAATCGCCAGACCATTCGTACATGTACTCCGATTATCTCTCCTCAATGCCGTAAGCTCTCTCTTCTTCCTTTATCGCTCTCCATCCTCTCAAGACTGTGGGATACTCGATAGCGTATCTGACAGCATAGACAAGGCCCTCTCTCTCCCCACCCGTTTGCTCACATATTCGTGTTTGCTGACTTTAACGCCCATCATACCAAGTGGCTCGAGAATGCTACTACTGACCGGGCTGGCAATTTCAAACACTTAATTTCTCAATTTCTCAATCCCTCACACAGATAGTTAATTTCCCCACTCGTTTTGCCCTCAACCAGGTAGATAAGGCCTCCCTTCTCGATCTGTGTTTTACCTCCATCCCCGAATCTGTCCTATTGGTAACTCCGATCATGCTGTAGTATCTGTTAACATTTCCTTCAACTCCACACCCCGCAAAGAACTTCCCATCACAAGAACCTCGTTCTACTATCAACAAGCGGATTGGGACTCGTTCCGTGACTTCCTCCGCGATGTCCCCTGGGATGTTGCCTTTACACTCCCTGTCCAAGAATGTGCTTCTGAGGTTAAAGCTGGAATCGACGCTTTCATCCCCTCAAGGAAATTTAAGGTCAAGTTGGTTCCCCGCTGCTTGCTCAGCCGCCATTGCCCATAGGAACCACTTCTTTCACCTATTTCGTAGCGACATGTCGGACTGCAATAGACGTCTCTTTGCCTCCGCCCGTAACGTGTGTAAGCGTGTCTTCAACGAAGCTAAGTCAATATTTGCTGCTCCGATGAAGGAACGTATTGCATCTCGCAAATTTGGCTCCAAAGATTATTGGCGGGTCTGCAAGAGTGTCCTGAACATTAGGAAACACTCCATACCTCCTTTGTTCAACCAGCTCGAGGTCTTGACCTCCTCTACCGACAAGGCTGAATGCTTAGCTCGGAAATTCTCATTTAATTCAACGCTCGACTCCTCCGGTGTACCCATACAAGAGTTCCCTCTAAGAACTTAGACCCCCACAAAGCTAGTGGTGGAGATGGCATACCAGCCATTGTCTTAAAGAAAATGCGCGCCTGAGCTAGCGCCCTCTATATAATTTATGCCTCAAGGAATCCTGTTTTCCTGACTGCGGGACGTCCCCATCCATTGTTCCTGTCTTTAAGAACTCTGATGACCCCTCTGACCCCTCTAATTACCGTCTTATTAGTCTCCTACCCCTCTTCGGCAAAGTCTTCGAAGCCCTATTCAATGCCGAAGTGGTTAACCACCTTACATCCCATGATCTGCTCTCAGACAAGAAATATGGTTTCCGCTACGCCCGATCTTTAGCTGATGTGCTTACGGCCATCACTGAAACCGTCTACCAAGCCCTTCAAAATAAGGGTGAGGCTCGTGCCGAGGCCCTAGATATCTCCGAAGCGTTTGATAGGGTTCTGGCATGCCAGCCTTCTTCGTAAGCTCCAGGGGTATGGTGTTACTGGTCAACTGTTTGATCTAATACAATCATTCCTGTCAAACAGTGACAGTTCCTATCCCACGAACGCAGGTGTTCCGCAAGGCTCCATCCTTGGCCCCACTCTTTTCCTTATTTTCTTCAACGACCTTCCTGACGCCGTAGATTCCCAAGTTGGCATCTACGCGGACGACACTACAATTTACTCCTGCCTCAAAAACAAATCTAGTGTCGGTGACAAAACTAACCTGGCCATGCACTGTAGAAACTTTTAAATGTGGCTGTCTCTTCTACTCCAATAGCTTCATATCTCGCACCTCTCGCCTGTGGAACACCCTTCCCAATTACTGTTTCCCTGTGAGCTATAATCTTCAGCTATTCAAATGTAATGTCAATCGACACCTCCAGTTACCTTGATCTATCCACTATCCTTCTCGTTATCCTTTCTTCTATCCCTCTTATGTGCTCTTGCTCCAAATCTTCTGCAACCCCCTGCAACCTAGTCGCTACACGCCTTGCTCGGGGTGTAATGCTAAAAATAAAAAGAGAAACGAACGAGCTTGAATCTTATCTGATAAATCATTTTCCGAAGGTAAAACCAATATTTGTAAACCAGTTCCTGTATTAAAAGAACATGTATGTTTGTTTAAGTTTTTGTTCTTTTATTCTTTGAAATTTCTCACATTTGTGAATATTCTTTGTTATCGGACCAAATTTTAACCGAATGCATGAAAATACCTTTTGAAACGCTGCGTGGGTGTAAAACGAGTGTTGATAGTCTGAGACCGAACCGATCAGTTTGGCGACTTGTCAAGCTTTTCACAGCTTTCTTTCTTACCTTCTACCTTTATTCTACTTTTTGTTTTGTAGTTTGCTTACCAAATCTTCCTTTCTTTTAATCTATCTTTTATTCTTTCTTTTATTCTTTATTTTTTCCATCTTTCTTTTATTCTTTTTTTCCTTTAATTGATCTCTGGGTTTTTCTGTTTGTCAGTTTAATATATTTCTTTCGTTTTTTTTTTTTTTCCTTTTCTCATTTCTTTCTCCTATTTTCTGTTCTTTCTCGTCCGCATTCTTTTATGCAGCAATTTATTTATTTTCATAGTTTTTTTGTTTTGGTTTTTTTTCTGTGTGACATTTTCTTGTTCCGGTTATTCTTCAAATTTCTCCTTTTCTTCGGCGTTTTTCCTTCATTCATACCGTATTCTTTCCAATTATTTTACTTTCCCCACTCAATTTTCTCTCACTCAGAACCTGTTTTCTTTCTTTCTTTTTTTCTTTCCTTCTGTCATTGTTCGTTCGTTCTTTCTTTCATTCGTTTCTTTCCTTCTCATTTCTCTTTATAAAAGGGTCCTGTCCCTTCAAGATGGTGGGTATTTGCTGAAAACCGAAAAAGGCGAAATGAAGTTTGTAGTGAACTGCCTGGAATCTATTGATGACTCTTGGCCGTAGAGCCGTGTGCATGAAACGAAGCCCTCAAACGGAAAATCGAATTCGCGCGACTACGTTTGGATCACGATGGAAAACCACTGAGTACAGAGTAGAAAAAATAACATCGGATTTCTAAATCGTAGTTTTAAAATTCGATCCTTGGAGAAATAAAGGATACTGCATTTTTTTTTTTTTAGACATTTTGGTTATTTATTTTCTATTGTTCTATTCGTTAGATATTTATTTAGCTTAATCCAAAAAATGAATAAATAAAATAACATAAAACGAGAATGAAATAAAACCACGTGAAAAACCTTTGATATTCATACGCAGAAAAAAAAACAATACAAATCCAGAAAGATTTATATCTGTGAATAATTTAATTGTGCTTAATAAAATGCAACACAAAGAAATACTTGAACTGCTAGGAAAGCTTTATTTGTTAGGGAAAGCTGTTCGAATAACCCAGCACATGTACTAGGAGCAAACTACCTGCATAAGGATAGAAAATGTATTCAGTAAATACACAAAAATAGAAAGGTGCTTAAGACAAGGATATGTTTTATTATTCAAAATTATTTACAGTGAGTCAATCCTGAGAGAATTAGAAGTTATACCAGGATTTATCGTGAAAACGATCTTAACACCATAAGAATTTAACAAAACAATTACTGGTCAAAATCCTATGCTGCTTATAAAAAAAATCGTGGAGTTTGGTAAACACAGATGTAAGAAAAGGATTCAAAAGGAAAAAAAAACTCTAATAAATACACAAACTGTATCTTTTAGAAGGCATTTGGTTCTTAAACTGGACAAAAGAGAAATATATATATATATATATATATATATATATATATATATATGTGTGTGTGTGTATATAAAAGTGTGTATATAAATATAATAAATACATATATATATATATATATATATATATATAATTATTTATATATTATATGCACGGTACTTATTAGAAAACGCTCAATATCAGAGATAAAGCTAGCATATTTGGTTGGATTGATGTGAGTTTGTGACCCTGGGTTTCACGCTTTTGCGATCGTCAGACAAACTGATTAATTTTTTTTTTTAAATTTGGGTTTATGTAGATTGTGTATATTGGTGTTATTATGGGAGTGGGGGGAATCGTCGTCGTGATGTCACTCATGCTAACGCAAACAATGATGCATGTCCGTACACCCGACGAGGTCGCAGACACACATACACACTTGGTCGTCCGTCGGT